ACGAAAGACGACATCGACGAAGCAGTGGAATCACTTCACTGTAACATTGAAATCGGCTTTCAGCAAAATACATTGGTCCACGTTACGCGCGTAGTGAATGTCGCCCTGAGCTCACAGATGAGCAAAGAGGATCTTAAGAGAAATTGCGCCAGAACTGTCAAAGATTCACGCCGCTATGGGCGATCCCGTTTGCGGGAGCGGGCGCACAATCTAAGGCAGAGATTCCGTTCATTTCTCTACGGGATGTGAGGAGCTGCTCACTGGTCTGATACTATTTCGGAATGCAATCTCCACAGAGGGCACATTTGGGGATCTTCTCGTGGCGCTAGGCCGCAAACCGGGAGTAAACTGGCCCGATTCAGAGCAACGTGCCGGACGGGGGCGCTTCGCGCTCCACCCCTCGGCCCGTTTACGCGTGGGACGACCGACAAAAAGCCGAAATCTTTTTGCGAATTCGCTTGCGTGCAGTTCCCCCGCGCGTTCGAAACGGGTGCCCGCATCGCTGCCATTGCTCCCCGCTGTTGGTGGTTCCAGGGCGCGTGCGGTCCGCAAAGCAATACCATTGCCTGTGCCCTCTCGAGGGGAGCGAATAACGGAGAGGAGCTTTCGAGCTGAAGCTACACCTCATGCGAGGACGGCAGGTGGCCCGGGACGGTCTCACCGCAGCGCAGACTCGGCGCTATGGGACGGGCAGGGAGTCGAGTTTTTACTCGAGCTCCTGATGCGTGCCTGGCCGGTGTGGCAATTTCCCAAGGCGTGGAGGATTGCGACATTAGCACCTAATACAAAAACCTGCAAATAATAAAGCATTCCCGAGCAGTATAGACATATAGTCTCTCTCCCATCCTAGGGAAAACGTTTGAGAGACCTGGACCCTGTCACGTTTTGCAACAGGAATACGTCTCAATCTTCCCACGTAGAATGAACGATTTGCTTTCCGATCTGGTCACAGCTTTGCGCAGCAGCTTTTACGTCGCCGGCTTTGCACGGAGATCGGCCTACCGCCCTCGAGAGACGGCAGAACTGGCAGTGGTCTTTCGGATATGCGGTCGGGCTTTTCGCCACTCTGTTGGTGGCATGCGGGTTTGCTCTATTGCCTTGCGGTGGCGGGAGTGAGCGATTGCTCACGTCAGACTGATCGCCAGTTTTTCTTCTGACAGGCAGTTCAAAAGGTGCGCGTCAATAACGTTACCGTCCCTCAGACGACCGAGCCAGGCGTGCCTCTCCTCCCTTTTCGGCTAACTGAATGACGCGCCGCTTCCGGCTTGCACAAGAACTGGTATTCATACGCTGCGGGCTCCGAATGTCGCGATGTTTGAGTACTATCGCGAAATCGGCGAACGAAGGCAGTCAGTTAAATACTTAAGTGATTGTCTCGTCCGCGCCTTTCACTGAATGGCATAAGTCGGAAAACGCCTCACTCTCAACCCTCGAGAAATCGACGCCGTCAACTTCACTTGTAAGAGGGCTAATCCCAATGATACAGCTGAGTTTGGCTGCAACGGCAATTCTACCTTGGCGAGCGTAGAGATATTTGGGCGTGCTACTTGACAGCGGCCTTCGCTGGCATGCGCACGCTCGGTATCTCGCTTCCAGACTATGAGACATCTCCCCGTGAGGGAAGGGGCATAGCCACGAGTATTGAGTCGTTTTCGGGAGGTGGAAACGGAGGGGTGTCGAGCTCAGCCGGGTGTTGAGTAGAGGGAAACATTATTAGGTTCTTAACATTATTAGAGAGAAATTGTAGGAAAAAAGACGTGGCTCTTAGATAAGACTCGGAGTGAGGACCATTATTGCCGTCTCGGGCCCATTTAAACCAGCATTACGCACGCCCGGCGCCCGTGTGTCCTCGAGTCCGCCCGCCTTTGACGACTCCGAGCCATGCAGCCAGCTGAGCACCGAATGGGGAGTCTGTGACCTGACCTCCGCCCTGCCGTCACCGCATCACGCCGTCAGCCCTGGCCACAGCGGAGGTGAATCACGAGACGAAGACAGCCATCCAGCGGGTCTGCGGAGGCGCCGACAAACAGCGGTGATAATCCAGTATTTAACCGAAGATGAACTCTCTACTCCTGATTACGTCACGGGGTTCCTTCGCTGTGTAGTCCGGCGAAAGTTTCAGCGTTGCCGCGCTCAGGAAGTTTTTTTAAATTATTATAGACGAAACCCCCAATATTAGTGTTAAGATGATTCTTCCAAGCTATTAGAACTATGAGCTCATTGCGCAAAGTTGGTAGGCAGTTTTTGTCGCTCTCTTGCGACGTGTAACTTCCCTGGCAGCTAATGTTGACAGGAATAAATTAATTTTTGCCGAATTAATGAAATGATTTAATCGATATTTTCACAACCTCCCTTCTCTTCCATCCATTCATTATAGGAATGAACGACCCGACTGAGCTATAAAAGTTATCCAATATCTTAATCCTTTCATAATCCCTTGCTTTGTTGCGGTAACTGTTTACCTAATTTAGGAACTGACTGCCTACACCTAGAAAATGGGCCTGAAGCCGGTTCCATACATTCGGTTTTCGGCGAATCCCCAGTAGTGTGGGTGAGTTTCTTGTTATTTCCAGGGCGGCGAACACATGATGCTCGTCCTATCTACCGGTCTTTTGCACACGGTAGCATGTCGGTCTTTTGCACACATCAAGCGGAATAAGAATGTTTTGGTAACGAATTTCAAAGTAAAGCCATGCGCGTCGAAGGTAAACAGGGACCATACCATCGCCGAATAGCAAACACTTGAGGCGCCCAGAGAAAACCAGGGGCCTGGGGCAGTCGAATTATGGAACCAATCATTCCAAAAAAAAAATCCCTCCTCCCCAATTCCTAAACAATTCATTTTCCTGTGCTACAAAAAGTTATAGTGTTGAATAAGGATTAAATATAAATACAATTTTTAAAAAAAATTCTTTTGAGTGGAGACAAATTTCGGACTCCAATGAAGTCGGAGCCGGGAGCAAGTTGCCACACATTCCCTTCTGGGCGCCCCTGGCAAATAGCCCGTGTTTTCTCAACTGAATTTCAACTATATTCAAATATTAATAATTTCACTTCTTTCAATACATCGGTTCCCTGTCAGAAATCTTCTGAACCCTCCTCGTGCTCCAAACACGAAAGCATTGTAACACGCAAAGAAAAGTGGGTTAAGGCATTGTAGAGAGTCGAGGCTGCTGCACCCAGCCCAGCACGGGGGTGTGGTTGTGCATCTGAGGGTCATGTACTGACAACATTGATACCTTGGAAAACATTTTTCATAATTTGGAAAGTATTAAATTAAAAAGAGGGAGGGGGAGATTGCACACACACACAGATTATATATTATACATATATTCTGGCTTTTGAGACAATAACAGAAACCCCACAACTCCCGCAAGGTTTCGGCGAAGCAGACTGGTTCCTGTGGCACAGGCACATCGAATATTTCACGACAGAAGCAGCGCCATCTATTATCTGCGGCACGACGGCCGCGGACTTCCGACTTACGGTAAACGCAGAGGTATTCGCGTTAACGCCTGGCCATCTCTTTACAAATCGGAGCAGTTGACCGCTCCCTTCCTTTTTCTGTACGAGACGCAGAGGTGAGCAGACGAGTGCAGTGAACGAGGCCAACTGAGCGTAGACGAAATCTCGTCGTGAGAAGAGTTAGAGAGAGTAGAGAAGCGTGTAGAAGTGAGTTGTAGCAGATTTAGCAAGTTGTGTAGTATTCGACATTTGTTCAGCAGTTAATTGAACTGGGTGAGTTAGGAAATTACGATATTGGTGCAGAAGGTAATTGAACTGGGAGCAGTGGTAAAAGATTTAGAGCGGAAAATAGTGAAGAGGCTTAAGAGGGGCTTAATTATTACGAGGCGTCATAAGACTTAATTTAGCAACACAAGTCTAAGGTGTTGAAGTACAATGATATTACGCCGCTAGTAACACGCGTCAGGAATGAATATCACGCGTCGGCGTGCTGGGCAGGCGTAACTTAGAACTAAAGCAGATGAGGACGTGAAGAGCCGGGACCAAGCAAGAAACGTAGGCGCTGATTCCGAGGGTAGACGCAGGCAACGTCGAGGACAGCTGGACGGAAGTGGAACGACGAATGGCGGACGAATCTGGGACAAGGCCAGGGGCGGCGATGGAGAAGCTAGGTTCGCGAGCCGCGATTGTGTGAGCTACATTTTGTAACGAGTTGAGAGTAGGCAGAGTCACGAGCGCTAGAGCAGTCGCACAAAGACTAGTTGCAAATATTGCATAATCACGTAATTTTAGTACGAACTACATCACGACAAATAACGGGAAAGACAACCTTGTAAGCCAATAATAGTTCATTTGTGTGTCACGTTTACGTGGAAAGTATTGTAAATAGCAGTGTAAAACATTTTTTTCATTTATGTGTAGTATTTTCAAGGGAATTAACAGTAAATAATTGTATAGATGAAGTCATTTAGCAATTTGTTGTAATTATTTGAATCAAAAGAATTGTGTAGAAGTAAGAATAACTGTGTGTTGTAATAATCAAGTCAAGGGATTTAATGTTTTGTTTCTTTCAAACGGAGCTGGCCAAGCAGCAGTTACCGTACACGGCCATTTGTGAAGGGAATTTTATCAGGGGGAGATAGTAAATTCAAAGTTGACAAATGAAAAAAGTTCAAAGTGTAATTTGAATTTGAATGTAAAGTTCAAAGTGTAATTTGAATTTGAATGTAAAGTTCAAAGGGTAATTTGATTCTGTATTATATTTGTGTTAGTTGCCATTTGTCCTTTGTATTTGTTCAGCGTCTGTTATCTGTGGTCACATTCTGGAGAGGTCTGGAAGGTCATATCAGGTAAAACACATTGTTTTACCTCATTCTGATTTGGCGCATATCTTTCTCATACCCCAAAGATCCTCTCCCCTGAGATTTCAAAGCTCGAACTGAGCATTCGGGCTGACGCGGACGCGACCGAGGTAGCAAGCGTTAGAATATATATGACATTCTGTATAAAAACAACACTGCAAATTTTATTCATACCTGTAAAATTCAGGAGTGCAATCTCTATAACGGCCAGTTACATCCGGCAGCTGGTTCACCCATAAATTATCTCTGTACACAGCTGCTCTGAAATCACCAGTACCAGCATATCTGCGCCTATTGTTGGTTCTTCGGTTTACTCTCTGGTTAGGAATGGCATCATGTCCAAAGAAAAATGGTCCAACTCCAACAATAGAATTCAGAAAACGTTCACGTTGGCGCTCTGGAGTAAGTGTAGTGCTGTAAATAAGAACTAATGTCAGAACTGAAAATTGTTCATTATCACCTCCTCCTAGAGTACACAACAGTCAGACTTTTGTTGAATATTTTTCAATTTTAATGTATTTCAATTTCTGAAACTATGTGTAAATACAACATATAGTTTATATTCATTACAGCACTGTCTAAAATGTGAAATAATATTCAGTTACAAAATCTCAAGTTCTATGAGTGTACCTGAAAGAAAAACAATTTTGCAAAATGATGAAAGTGTAAAAAAAGTACACATTGTCTTGAGACATGAAAGAATGCAATTTAAACGAAATTAATAAGATATCATACAGAAGAGCCCACAAATTTTAATGCAGCAATGAGAAACAAAGTCAATCTAATCTTTCATGGCCAGTTTAATTTATTTATTCATGGCCGTGTTTAATTTACTTCCTGAGCTGATGCGCCATGATACTGTTGTATAGATTTCAGTTCGTCATGAGCCCACAGGAAGGATTTCCAACCATTGCTCCACTACTGCTGATGACTGCAGCAGTTGCAGACAAAACCTCTGAAGTACGAATACTACTACACCACAGCATATCCATCCAGAAAGCATTTTTGAACTACACTAAAGATATATTATTCAGGTAGCACTATCCTCGCTGTGAGACACTGACTGCTGGCAATCAGCCTTCTTGTTCTTTAGAAATTTTGTTAGTCAAAAACTAAAATTACGGGAGTAAATATTAATATGTGAATTCCTTGCACTGAAATTAATTGACAATACTGTGTTACTAGAATTGCTGAAAAGGGTACTACAAGAGTGAATATCCATCTTGGTGGAAGTTCTGCAGTCCTTGAAAACTAAGTTCATATTTGAAGTCACTTCCACAAATTTAACCTTGAAACTTTCAATAGAAAGTGCATGTGATAGTTACACTGTGTTGCACCAGCAAGGTAAAGAGAACAACAGTATCTCTCAAAGCGAAAGTAATAGCACCTTCAAAGTCCTACTCTTAAACATTATCTGGTATCACAAAACTGTGTAATCCAAAGTGTAAAACATTGTTCTGCTTACTCTAAAAGAAATAATTTTCATAAACGAAATATAATGCAAAACCACAAATACAACAGAATTATCTTACCATTACCAATTTACTTTTGACTGATTTGCCTATCATTTTGAAGGCCTATCATTTCAAATAATTCCAGTTACAGTTAAGATTGGTATATTCAATAATTTTTTTAAGGAGAAATTCAGTTCTGGCAAATTTTCCTGATTAATAAATGCTGACAGAAAATTTTCCATAATTTTAGAAACTTAATTCAATCCATAAATAACCTCCTACCATCCATTGTTCATTAAGTGTGATCTCAAATACTTTCATGTTAGACCCACAGATGGTTTTTGGATCATGTTATATTAACTTAACCCAATTAAAGCCCTAATATCAAAATGCTCACTGCAATATATCTTGAAAATGACACCATGTGGGTTATTCAGTTTTATACCTGAACCCCTTCAATTATGAAAAATTGCCCAAAGAATATTCCAGTGGGCTGCAAGTGATCATATCACGCACTCACAAATTTGGAGCATGAATCTACATTCTTATCATGCAGTCCTACCTTCAAGATTTATTCAATGCTCTCATAAACATAGCACTGTCATAGTGCAAATATGCCAGAAAGAAGATGATGTTCAAAACAAGTTTTGCAGTTAATACACAAGGTTAAACTTCAAATGGAAAATTAAACTATTGTGAATTAAATAAGACAGTGTATCACTACGAGTCCTACCTTCATAACTCCCTTCTTTATTTTAAGTAAAGAATAATCAAGTTGTTATAATTAATCTTACGAAAGACCCTTAGATGTTATATATTTTAGACCTGAACACTTTTTTAAATGCCCTTTGTTTTATACTTAATTTTTTTTTTAGGAGTGTTATTAGAGAATTTTTTACAAATTGCATTCATTCCAAGCAGAAATAATGCGGAAACTTTGCAGACATGTCATGTACTTTTTAAAAATTGTACATGACCATTTTCAAGAACCGAGTTTTTAGAACACTTTTTGCTAATGCAGAAATTTCTATCTTCAATTTTGTAGTTTCGAAATGTTATCTTTTTGCAATTTTTGAAAATACAGAGTTCGCTGAAAATGAGATTGGCATAAGACTTTACACCATCCCTTAATAACTACGAAACTGTTGACGCTTTATGAAAAGCATCCTTAAAAACAATATATCCGTTTCAAACTCAGAAGACCTTGGGTTCCTTTAAATCTATCAGAGAATATCAATTTTCGAGAAAACTGAACTGTTTGGGGGCTAGCTTGACACAAGCGGAAGTTTTGCCGTCAATCGATTTTGCGGTATCAAGGTCATACAAAACACAGATTCTGAATACAGGTCGTATATAAAGTAATTCACTATATATACATGAACAAGTTTTTCATGCACCTTTTTGTTGTTACCAGAGCCAGCCATAAAGACCAAGTTGAAAATTCGCGTTTTTCCGGAGCACGATTTCAATACTTTCTCTTCTTACGCAGTAAAGATTTAAATCAAATCAAATTTAATCAACATTCTATACTATTTAAAGAGCATAAAATAAGGACTTGATTTTGCTGTTTTTATTTCTTCACTTTTTGATTTTGCCAGGAAACACAAAATTATCAATATTTGCTTTACAAACAAAATATGTGCCAAAAAATGTTAAAATATAATTTCAGATACATTTATTACTATCTCACGAATTTTCCCGAGTTATTGGGTGGTATGAATAAAGTGGGTGAGCAATTGCTCCGTCTCTGGGCACTTGCTCCACCTCTGAGCGTACTCTCAACTGGCGAGCAAATGCTCAGAATTGATATGAATAAAGTTAAGCGTTTACTCTCTAGAGTGAGCACTTGCTCCAAAATTTCGGAAGGACCTTGAGGCCGCTTTCACCAAACAAAGAGTAAGAGTTTACTCTGGAGTAAATCATGTTTACTCGAGAGTAACTTCTTGGAGCGTTTCACCAACACTTTACTGTAGTGTAAAACACTTGTTCACAACCAGAAAATGCTCGCGAGACATGAGTAAGTTCTTCGCAGACATACGCATTCATACGAAATGGAGCTTCTGCTCAGTGCCGCAGAGTAGACTCACTTTGCTCCGGATCAAGTGTTCATTTTTATTCATATGACCCATTGATTCAGACTACCTCCAGTTTTCCAAAAAGTAACTACCCTGTCATTCAAATACTCAAATAATATACTTTACTATCTACGAATAAACTCCGCCTGCGGTAGGCAATGAGTGGAATAGCTCAGTAGGTGTCGTTGCCGGTCCCAAGCCCGGGTAAGGGAGGAGGGCTGGAGAAATGGGCTTGCAACCCATTCTTTGTAAAAACTTTCTGAGGTGAATTCTCCCCAATAGAAAAGCCTCGGATGCGAACTGACAACCGAAGACGACTTTGGCTACGGAATAGGACCATCTCCCTTGATACATGGAATGTTCAAGGTTTGAGACTGAAACAGGCAGAAGTGGCAGAAATAGAAAATTTGAAACTGGATATTGTAGTCCTGACAGAAACCAAAAAGAAGGGGCATAGAGAAGAAGTACTAGAAATCTACTATCACATCTGGAGTGGAGTACCACAATCACAACAGGTAAAATCCGGCGTCTCAATTCTTATTAGTAAAAAATACAGAAAACATAAATTTTGAACAAATTAATGAAAGATTGATCAATGTCGAACTAAACATTCAGAACCAAAGTACAACTATCACTGGAGTATATGGTGTTAACAACAATGCTTTAAGTGAAGAAAAAGAGGCTTTCTTTGGTGAGCTTGGTGACATTATGGACGAAGTGAGCAAGCAAGTTGAACTATTTGTCATTGGAGATTTAAATTGTAGAGTTAGACATCACGAAAAAGAGGTAGTTGGCCCCTTTGGAGAAGAGATGGTAAACAATTGATCTATGAAAGGAGCAAGAATGTGTTGTAACAAATACTATGTTCCTACATAAAGACATACAGAGATACATGGAAGATCCCAAACGACAGTGTAAATCAATTATAGATTTAATGATAATGAGGAGGCTAAGGAAAAAGTTATTAAAGGATGTGCGGGTTTATAGACAGACTGAATGTGCCAGCAACCATCACATGGTAGTGGGAAAGATATGTTTTACAAATATAAAAACAACCGCTCCAAAAAAATAGACAATGAGCACATAGACAATAAGGAATTTATTTTCAAGAAAGAGCTTTTGAACCAGTATTGTGTGAAAATGCTCTACCAAACTTGACTGAGAAACAATAAATTTCGAAAAGGAGGACAATCCCACAGAAATGTATCAACACTTGAAGGAATGTATTTCAGATGTACCTAAGGAAGCCCTTGGGGAAGAAGAAAGAAAACGGAAATATACAGAAAAGTTTTCTCATAATTTAGAAGAAATGATTCAAGACACGAAAGAAGCATATATGAAATGGTTAAATGATGAAACACCAGTCAAGAGAAAAATATGTTTTGTTTTGACAGAAAGTTAAATTAATGTAAGAATGGAAAAAAATGAACATTGGGTCAAGTTATGTACATACATCGATGAAACTGTAGGATATAATAAATCATCTGAAACCTGGAAAATTATCAAGAAAATGACAAGATATGAGTGTAAAAGCATGTTACCAAGAACACTATTACAAAAATGGAAACACCACTACTCAATGCTTTTACAAGAAAGCAGACCAGAATTAGAATTAGACTTAGAAGAAGAAGAAGAAGAAGAAGAAGAAGAAAAGAAGAAGAAGAAGAAGAAGAAAAGAAGAAGAA